AAAACTTCCAGGGATGGGGCTTCCACCACCTCTCTGGGCAACCTGTTCCAGTGTCTCACCACTCTCATGGTGAAGAACTTCCTAACGTTCAGTCTGAACCAGTCCACCTCTAGCTTCAATCCATTCCCTCTAATCCTACCACTACCCGACATCCTAAAAAGCCCCTCACCAGCTTTCTTGTAGGCCCCCTTAAGATACTGGAAGGCCACAGTAATCTCCTCGGAGCCTTCTTTTCTCCAGACTGACCAACCCCAACTCTCTCAGTCTGTCTGCATAGGAGAGGTACTCCTGCCCTCTAATCATCCTTGTGGCCCTTCTCTGGACATGTTGTAGCACGTCCCTATCTATCTTGTAGTAGGGGCCCCAGAACTGGACACAGTACTCCAGGTGGGATCTTACAAAAGTGGAGTAGAGGGGGAGAATCACCTCCCTTGACCTGCTGGCCGTGCACCTCTTGATGCATCCCCGGACACGATTGGCTTTCGGGGTTGCAAGTGCGCACTGATGGCTCTTGTTGAGCTTCTTGTCAGTACCCCCAAGTCCTTTTCTTCAGGGCTGCTCTCAAGCCAATCACTGCCCAGCCTGTATTGGTACTTGGCATTGCCCTGACCCAGATGGAGGACCTTGTTGAACTTCATGAGGTTGACCTGGGCCCACCCCTCCAGCCTGTTGAGGTCCCTCTGGATGGCATCCCTACCCTCCAGCGTGTCAGCCGCCCTGCACAACTTGGTGTCGTCGGCAAACTTACTGACTCACTTATGTGACTTACTATGTCACTGACAAAGATGTTATACAGGACTGGTCCCAGTACTGATCCTTGAGGGACTCCACTTGTCACTGGCTTCCACTTGGACATGGACCCATTGACAGCCACTCTTTGGGTGCGACCATCAAGCCAGTTCTTTATCCACGGAATTGTCCATCCATCAAATCCATATTTCATGAGCTTGGAGACCAGGATGTCATGGAGGACAGTGTCAAAGGCTTTGCTCAGCTCCAAGTAAATGACATCAGTTGCTCTTCCCTTGTCTATTGATGTTGTGACCTTCTCATAGAAGGCCACCAGGTTTGTCAGGCACGATTTGCCCTTGGTGAAGCCATGTTGACTGTACCCAATCACCTCTTCGTTATTCTTCTGCCTCAGCAGTGCCTCCAGGAGAATCTGCTCCATAATCTTACCAGGCACAGAGGTGAGACTGCCTGGCCTATAGTTCCCCACTTCATTCTTCTTTCCCTGTTTGAAAATGGGGATTATATTTCCCATTTTCCACTCAGTGGGGACTTCGCCAAACTGCCATGACTTGTAGAATATAATAGAGAGCAGTTTAACAACTTCATCCGCCAGTTCCCTCAGTGCCCATAGGTGTATCCCATTGGGTCCCATGGACCATCAGATGGTTATGAACCTGATCTTCAGTTACAATGGGCAGTTCTTTCATCCAATCCCTGCTATTGTCTTCTTTGACTTCAGGAGTGTGGCTGGAGCCCTTGCTAGTGAAGACAGAGGAAAAGAATTCGTTGAGAACCTCAGCCTTTTTCAAATCACTTGTCACCAGTTCACCCGTTTCTTTTCTGAGAGGGTCCAGACCTTCCCTAATCTTTTTCTTACTGTTAATATACCTGTAGAAACTTCTGCTGTTTCCCTTGATCTCCCTGGCTAGATTTAATTCTAGTTGAGCTTTAGCTCGTTTTTTATCTTGCTCATTTTGCTCCATTCTTTTGCACTTTATGGGACTTCTCATATTTGTCATCATGTTCCTCATTTCCACATCCTGTGTAGAAATTTGCCTATCTACAGAGCAGTGTGGGAGACACTTGGTAGAGCTATGCAGTCCCAGAACTTTGAAAAGCTTTGGCCTTTCTGGCATAAGACTGGGAATAGGATCCGGATCAAGATTCCATCTTGTTTTTTTGATTCGAGCACCTTCTATTTTAATGGGTGATGTAGTAGAGAATTTAAAATATCAGCACTGGGCTGAAGAGTGTTGATTGATCCAAATTATGTTTTTTCAGCACTTCATTTTTTAGGACTTTTTAAGAATGCTTTGTGCCATAATGGAAAAGATTTCAGGCCCGTAACATTTACTGACAATGAGCTGAAATAAAAAACGTGGTTTTTTGCACAAGAGAAATAAATAGAAACATCTCCCTCTGTGAGATGTTGTTTAAAATAGTGAGAAGAAACAAAGTATGTTCCTTTAACATGTAGTTTTTTCATTGCTTTTCTTTTTTGTGTTACAGTAAGCCAGAAGATATTTGGTTCATGTCTACAGGAGTTTTAATAGGAGCATAATTTAATTTCTGTCTGCTTTATTCTAAAATACTCTTCCCTAAAGATTTAGTTCGTATTCCGGAATGACTGAAGAGCAGCTGCTATTTTCCGTGCTGTAATTTTTCTTCTTAGTTGATATACACTTGTATTGTATATATGAAAACAATTAGTAGGGGAACTCCAACAGACAAAGAATTCCTCAGTCCCATGGGATAGATTTCTCTATCTCTCAGCCAGCTGTACAACTTACAGAAAATGTCTACTGCGAAATTAGAATGTAAAGAAACCTCCTACCAGAAGAGGTTCAGGAAGTGTGCATGTGTATGAATAATGTGGATTAGTGTACATTTTCAGGTATTAGGAAAATACTGGTTTTGCCATGATATAAATTGGAAAGCTGAAGAACAGAGGAAACGTGCATAGAAAGTAATTCTTATACACAGTCCTGAGAGGATTGTCCTGAGCTTTTGGAAACATAAAATTTTTTTCTCTGCTGTGTTTAAAACATGGCTATTTCTGAGTTTCCAAAACTGACAAATTTGGAACAAATTCTTCAACTTTGAAGCTATTAATTTACAAAGACTTTTTTTTTTTTGTGAAAGATATGATTTAATTTCTGTAAAAGAGGGTAAATAAATCAAACATTTACAGTTTTCAAAAGCTGTTTCCACATAATATGATTTATTAAGTCCAAGACTGGGTTCCAGATATCAAGAGGTCTCTGCATGGGTGTTTTTATTACCAGTCTGAAGTCTGATTATTCACTAGCTACTTTGTTGCTACTTTGTGCTTATGTTCTATCTGCAAGTCTTACTTACTCCTCCTATCACTAATTTAAGGTAGTGTGCAAATACTGTTCCTTCCATTTGGCAGAGAAGCAAGAGGTCAGAGAAGTTACTTGACTTACCAAAAGTTAAGTAGCACGGAAGTGTCAAATCATGATAAAAAGTCAATTTGCAGAATGCATTTTTTGGTCGTTAGTCCTTTTCTGTTTTAGATGGCTAATCTGAGGTGTGCCTTGTAGGCTTCTTAAGGGAAGCCAGCTATCTACTTTCTCTAAGCCCACTAAAGCAGGGGGAAGCTGCTTAAAAGTGCTGATGCTCAAGTTCCTACTATAAAAAAAAAAATTGAAAAAACCCTCATTCTTTTATCTCCAAATGTGTTATTATTAAAACAGTAGTAAAATATTTATAGTCTTCAGTCAGCTAGACTCAGTAAATTAAACATTTCTACATACATTTCAAAAAGAGCAAAATTCCTACCAAAAATATAAAATCCCAAAATAATAATGATTGAACCCTTCCCATCTGTGTAATTTTTGGACTATTTCTCTACTTTTGCTCCTTTCTACTGCTAGTATTTTCTTTTCCCATTGACTTAATTTGAAACTCGATGTGACCGATACCCCATGGATATGGACCTATGGGCCTTTGTACTTTGTTGAGCTGAATTTGTGTGAGATTTTCCATAGACCGTTGGCAAGCTTGACTCCATGAGCCAGATGGTAAAGTCCTGTGGCCGAAAGTCCAGAGATGCCCACCTCACACTCAGGGGCTGATGGGAACAACGCAGGCAAGTGTGGCAGTTGCTACCCAGGAAGCCCATTGCTGTGTTGCAGAGCTCTGCTGTGCCAGGAATGCGGCTGGATAATTTGATGGTATTCGTTTTAGTGGCCCTGGAGACATCCAGAAAGCAGTCATCTGAGGTATCTAGCAGCCCTTGTGTTACCACAGCCTGGCCACGTGATGTAGCCTAGCCATGGAAAGCCTTCGGTAGCAAAACTCCGTGTTGGTCATTGTGAGTCACTGGGTTAGACTGTGGCATAACAAAATCTAAAAGCAGGCCAAGTATTAGACCATCACAGTAGAAGTGTATTAACTTGCTTTTACATATTATTTTTCAAAGAGGAAATAAGTAATTTAAAGGTCATTCTTCAGTAGACAATAACAGCTTCTGCTATTCTTCTGTAGAAGTTTGTGACCTTGCAGGTAGGATATCGGCCTCATGCAGAAGGGAAGTCCATAGTATCAAAGCTTAAAGTGCCTTTCTGCTGAGGCATTATGCATTCTTCCTCTCCGTGTGCAATCCTATGTGCTAAAGAAATTGTTAACAATGACAAATGACATCTAGTAGGAACTAGTAATTCCTTGCTTTTCACTTCCTGAGGTACGTTTCTCTGATTTTCACCTACTAGAATAGCCAGACTGAGATAAATTCTTTCTGGTACAAACTGCAGTCTGGAAAACGTTATTTGGGGATAACTGACTTTTATGTTTTTCTAAGGATTAACCATATGAGTAATATTAGGTAATTTGGTTTGACTATCTATGACATGGGTAGTTTTGAAGAAAGAGGAATATTTTTAAACTTCTTCTTCTAATAATATTAAAATGTGTCTGTCTACCTGAAGAACATAAAATTATTGCAAACTGTTTTGTTGCCCCAAGATTGCCAGGGAAAGCTAGTGTGTTCAGTTTTAAGACTTTCCCTCTGTTTTGTAGCTACAGTTAAATATTATTCAAACGACATGCTTATAGTGATGACAGACACTGCAGACTATATGTGATGTAGGGATCTCTGAAGAGAGGCAAGATTGATGGAACATAGAAGTTCAGATGGACCGTTTCCTGTTTGTTTCTTATCTGCTGAAGTTCTCTTCATTTGATTGTTAATTGTATTGTTTGATTGATTGTTCCTACAAGGAAGCTTGAAAGCTCCGCTGTATTTTTTTACTAGGAGTCAGAACTAAAATTTTATAAATCCTTTAGACTCCTGTCCTCTTTTGTGGTCTGTCTTCCTCCCTGCTTTTCTTTTTCTCACAGCTAAGCATCTCTCAGCATCGCCACAGCGTCTTCTTGTCCAATTGATGAGCATATCTAAATTTGTCTGAATCAGTGATCAAAACGCATGATGTCTTTAGAACTATTTCTGAACTAAATATCCATAAAATCACAAATGTGTGGTAGAATTCTGCTAAACCGATAGTCTTGCCACTTGCACGGCCAGAGGCTGGGAGACTAATAAAATCCAATTGCTTTTTTGCACTGCCATTCCCTTTTTGACCTGCTCTGCCAGGATTGGAAGGATTAAATTTTGGCTCTTACAGTAGTACTTAAGAACATGACTTCAGTTATCAAATGTGCTTGAATTATTGTATTCGTCACAGTATACATACACTGAAATTGTGCTGTTTAACAAGTAAAGCATTTCACGCTGGATTTTTAAATCAACCTTTTTTTAATCGTGACAGTGCAAAAATTTTGTGAGACCTCCAAAGTGATATCATGGAGTTTAATATGCGGTGGCAGTTCATGAGTTTACATTTGAAAAAATGCACTCTTGTGCTATGGCACATGAAACCGGTCTGTGAAGCCTTGCTGTCTAAATGCAATTACACAAACTTTTCTCATTTTTGTTGTTCTTGTCCTTGTGTATTGAGAAATAATGCGTTCTTCATCTGTTAACTCATAACTGTAAAGAAGGAAGAATATGACTGAATTTGCAATTTCTTCATGGACCGTAACATCATTTCAAGGTTACAGTTAAGTAGTGTTTAACGGCATAAGCCAATTTTTTTTGCCCAGGAGGAAAGTGTTTAATAAGTTCATGAGAGTGACGTAAGTCCCAGATGTGGCACAGTTTCATTACATTTGTCAGAGGAAGCAAACTTGCAATTAAACATGATTACAGGCTATTTTAAAGGTTATGTTACTGCTTTTGAATCCACTGCATGAAGAAGTTAGTATATAGTGTAACAGTAGCGAGGAGATCTCTGTAGGCTGTCTCAAGAATTAGTAGGAACAGAACTCCATAGCATTCCCAGGAAGAAAATCAGCCCCTGTCTTCTTTGATTCTTAGTGGAGCCTAGGAGACTTGCTAACTTAGTTAAGGAATCTCGAAGGTAGCTAAATACAGATCTCAATGAACGTCCTTTTAAGAAAGGGAAAACTTAAAAGGTATAACTTGGGAATTGCTGATTCCCAGATCAGCTCTCTTTCTGCCAATAATTATTTCTGCTTTTTTTGTCTGTAGCTTTACTGTAAGAGTCTGCGCCAACTATGAAGGCCAAAGTATTTCAGATAAGATAGGTAAGAAATGTTTTATATTCCTATAATTTATTCTGGCTCACTCAATTTCAGATGCATTTTTTTTTTACACCTTGGAAGACGATAAGAGTGAGTTCCTCCTAAGGCAAGAAAACACAGTGCAAAAATATGTATATATAGCAAAAAGCTTGTATTAATCACTTGAAGGGTTTTTGATTCACATTAAGCCATTTTCAAAATAAAACCAAGAGTGTACCCTGTTGGAGAATGTTCTGTTTCCAAAAAAGAAAAAAAAAAAATATATGGAATTCCTGTACAGGTGTGACCTGGTTGGAGCTAAACAGAACCAATTCTGGTTTGTAAATGAAATTAGAAAGTTTAAATTACACATACTCCATACTTTGGATCAAAAATTAGTGTGCTCTTAAAACAGACAGGCACTTAAAGCATAGTTTTGCTTGGAAGACTTTGTCAGAGTAATTAACTATAATACATAATGAATTGTTTACTATTTTTTATTCCCATGTTAAATAAATAAATATTTGATTTGCTTGTATCCTTTAGTGGTGAAAGGTGAATTGCAATTAGATTCATTGAAACAGAAAGGAGCTGTTAAGAGAACCCTCTTCTTTGATTACCATCAGTCACATCATTACTTCTCCATTCCGATAGAAAGACAGAAACAGCTCCATTGCCAGGACTTTCTTGTTTATCTCAGAGTAAGTAGTTTAAAATATTTTTGAACTATCATCATCATCTGACTAGTATCAGGAATTTAAACATAATAAAATAATAAGGAGCTGCAGTGTAAGAAAGAACAGTTTCCATTGTTCTTAGATCCCAAATTACAGAAATGTGAGTTAAGAAAGGCTTCATCTGGATATCTAGAACATTTTTCTACCTGGGCAAAATTTCCTATGGTATTCTTTGGCTCATCTTTTGACTATGTAAGTATAAAAGAAAGATTTTCTTTCAAGAGTGTACAGTTCCTCTGTGTACAGTTACATTTATCTTGTGATTTCTAGAAATTCTGATTAACTGCTGCATCTCCTTATACAAAAATCCAAGATTGCTCTTCTTATAGTATTGAAAGTGAGATAATCAACTAAACATGTTAAATGTCAGGTCAATTTAGTTTCAACAGATACTTTAAAGGAGTGTCACCAGCAATATTGGCCTAAACCTCCAAAATCTTGAAAAATATTTTTAAAATATTTTAAAAATGCTTTTAGAAAAATTAAAACTGTGAAACTAAAATTGTGAAGGAGAAAAGGGTCATTAATTACAGCTGGAATTACCTCATGATTGAAGCAGATTCCAAGGCTGGTCCTAGAAATGCAGTGGAAGGTGAAATGGAGAAGTCTCAAGCAGTATGTAAGGAAGTATCTAGGCAATAAAGATGGTGGAGTTTTACAATGGCTAATTCATATAAATTCTTGGTTATTGAACAAACCAACAATATTACCTCCACAAATCCACTTACATCCTACCTCCATTCTGAAAGGAAGGTGGACAGTAACTGACAGGAATTGGTTCTGTGTGTCTCTTTTAAACAGCTTCATTTTAGGCTAATACTTTGAAAAAATTCTAAGTATACTCAGCTCAGCCACCTTCTTCCAGATGTGGGGCTGTGGAGGCAATGTGTTCTGGGCATTCCAGTTACTGATGAGTCACTTTACTTTCCTAGTGACATTACATACAGCCAGAATTTGGCCAGCAGCTGTCAAAGAACCATATCTTTACCTTCAGTAAACATTAAAGTCTGAATCTGTTGCCATACCATAGCAATCTGAAATAATTATATTAAACCATTGTTTTTTATTTTGTGATTGTCACTCACAGGATGAAACAGAATTTAGAGATAAATTATCTCCCATCAATATAAACTTGAACTATAGTTTGGATGAATCCAGTTTTCAAGATAGCTTGACTGTGAAGCCGATACTGAACTATTACCAGAAAAGCTCGGTAACAGAACAGGTACGAATTTTGCATGCCACATTTTCTGTATATAAATGTGACAGCATTAAAAAATACCATGTGTGTCATCTTCCTTAGAACAGCATATCATGTCCAGAGATGACACACTAAGGATTTAATTAGTTTAAAATGTAAATTGAGTATAAATATAGAACCAGGCAGGCCTTTAAAGCATTTCCAAAAGTTTCTTGTATTCTTAGTTTTGATTGCGTTCTAGAATATGTAAGCCAAGTTAGTGTGCAAAACGGCCTGTAAGACGATATTATTCTGCTAAGGACATATCTAACAGTCTAAATACTACTACTTGTGGAAAGGAACTTAAAGGAAATAGAGATTAATTCACTAGTGCAGTGTTAGTGATATTTAAGACATTTAGGTTGGTGATATTTAATGAAGTGATCTGAACTTTGAAGTGTGTGCTAACTGTATTGTAATTTTTTTTTGTTTTGGAATACAGGCTTACATTCTGGTTGACTGCGGGGAGGACAATTTGTGCATTCCTGACTTGCACCTTTCTGCTATGCCGTAAGTTAAATAGAATAAATGATACTGTACATAACAAAATCCAGACACTTCTAACTGCTTTAACAGAATGAAATATGTACAACATCTACTCATCCTTAAATGATTTCCAGATTTTAATTTGTTTATCCATTTCATCTAGAAAACAGAATACACTTGAAAAAGTATCTGTCAGAGACATTAATGGTGTTCAATGGTTATCATAGAAAATATAGTTTACAGATGTTCGTTAGGAATTATTCTAGTTCTCTGAATGCCAAGAGATAATACAAATTGTTGTTAAAAGGAGATTTAAAATTTGTTTATTTCAATGTGGCAGTGACTTTGAACTGGGGACACAATTCTCCTAAACTTAATATCCAGGGAAATAAATGAATCTCAGAATACAAGAATTCCAAACATGACAACAGTTCCTCCTGTGGAGGGAGAAATATGCCAAACAGCACAAGTGGGGAACCTTTGACAGTTATTTGACTCTGTGCCACCAAAGTCAATATGTAGCTGTGAAAGTAAAGGACACAATGCCATTGCCAGTCTCAGGACATCTTCTGTCATTGTGCATTTTACAATGGGCATAAGGGGAAAACTGTAGTCCCGCAACCTTTGTGTCCTCCAGAAAATAATGCTGATGGGACCCCTGTGTCAAGCAAATCCTCCGCTAGATACCTCTTTCTGGTTAGAAAGTCGCCAGGCTCTAAAATTTCGTACCAGTAACTTTCAAGTTCTATGGTAGTCTACTTTGATTTTCCAGGCTGGTGTTTTCTCTTGACCTCTTTCCTACCTGGGTACTTGCATACTTTTCCACAGGGTCATTTTTTATGGAAAATGTTTTATTCTGGTTCACAGAATATTTTCCAAAATTGATACTATGAGAGCAAAATGTCCTTCTGCTTTATTCATACATAAATTGTAATTATGCATGTTTTAACTTCTAACAAGTAGTATGTTCTGTGTAGAGATAAAGATCAGCTAATAATTGGAGAAGAAAACTATGTCATGCTCATAATAAATCCAAGGAATGATGGGGAAGGAGCCTATGAAGCTGAGCTACACATAAAGATTCCACCTGAAGCAGATTACACCGGGGTTGAACGCAACAACAAGGTAAATGAAAATCAAAATGTTAGCATCAACAAAGCAGAACTGAGGGCATGGTTAACCTACGTAGGCTATACTAGCTGAAAGCAGCAGGTAGGGAGGGGCCTCCTAGGAAGGGACGTTCCATCAGCCCTCAGCTTTCCTTGCTCACACAGTCCAGGCTAAAGATTAGCTGTATCACCAGAAGATGGGAAGGACAGGACCATTCTGTTCAGAGCTAGCTGAAGTCCAGCTCCTTGCTATTTAATTACAATACCGCACAAACAGTACCACATCTCTCCTAGGGCTAGAGGTCATCATTCAGATCTTGAACCATTAAACCTTACCAGTAGCAGGGAGTGTTAGTGCAGAATCCCCTGAGTGCTTCCAACCTTGGATCCTGTGGTACCAGCTCTCACAGTTGAGCCCTGCTG